GGTTTAGGGTTTAGGGTTTAGGGTTTTGATGCACGGAAAGAGATTCAGGAACCTGGGCACAGCGTGTCGCTAGCTGTGCCGGAGGCTGCCACTTTTCCCCGGAACCCTAAACCCTAAACCCTAAACCCTAAACCCTCACCAATGACTTTGAGTTTAGTTCCTCGGCTAATTAACTCCTCCGTCACGGTTGTGGCGCTGCGCACGATAAGGGCGTCGAAGTCCTCTGCGAAACAACGCAGTTTCTAAACCACCATTTAGGGTTTAGAGTTTAGGATTTAGGGTTTAGGGTTTAGGGTTTGAGAGAAGCAAAACCTGCCGAAAGTCACAAAGAGCAAAGGAGCATGAGGACATAATAAAACCAAAAAGGCAAAAAATTAAACAAAAAAGACAAAAAAGATAAAAAGTAAAAAAGGCAAAAAGGACTTAAAAAAGAAATAAAAAAGGATAGGAAAGAAAATGAATAAATGAATAAATGTATAAATGAATAAATAAATAATAAGTAAATAAAAATAATAAATAAAAACAAATAAATAGTTTTTGACCAACTGATAATTTCCAAAAGTTCTTCGTTATCGATTTTCTGTCGAGTCTCCACTGTCGAGACACTCTGGAGAATTTGAATGCCCGCAGCGTCGACTCCGTCGAGGGCCAAAACCCTAAAAGAGGGTCTGAGGAAGTGCAGCAAAACCCTCTAAACCCTAAACCCTAAACCCTAAACCCTAGGAGGGGGAGCGGAAAGGCCGCGGGCTTCAAGCGAAAAAACGCGGCAGACAGACACTGGATCCAGAGAGACACAAAACAACGCAACCCATAAACCCTAAACCCTAAAGCCTAAACCCTAAACCCTAAACCCTTACGCGCTGCTTAATTAAACACTATGTGCGACTTTGAGCAGCTATTAAGGGCCAAGTCTAGACCCTACAAATTGCGCAGTGGGCATCGAGCTCTAAACCCTAATCCCGAAACCCTAGACCCTGTAAACCCTAAACCCTAAACCCTTGGGCGTTTCAGTGAACCGCAGCTGTGGAGGGCGGGGCTGCCTCGTGGCTGTCTAGGGTTTAGAGTTGAGGGTTTAGGGTCTAGGGTTTTTGGACCCAAAAAGATTTGAATTAGAAATTAAAAACTGAAATTTAAAATAAATATTGATTGAAAGTTGAATTAAAGGAAAAGGGGGAAATTACTGCTCAGTCTGCGGCGCCGCCATGGTGACCTCGGGGTCGGCAGTTGTCGGAAAAGAGAGAAAAAAGAGAATTTTTGAAGGTCTTTGCTGCTCCGTTTTGGGATTTATATAATTCAAGATAAAATAAATCAAAAAAGGCTTTTTTTATTCATAAAAAAGAAGAAACATGATGCAAAATGCAGAAATAGGTGCTGCGCCGCCGCCAGCGCCTCCGCGGTGACTGTGGCGGGCACTACGGATGTACAGACACCCCAAATGCTGCCTCCTTTGCCCGACAAAATCTTTGCATTTTTGTTTATTTTTAAATTTATTTCAGTTATTTAATTCTATTTTCTTTATTTATTTCGAATTAAACTGCAAATGCGGAGAATTAAAGCCGAAATTTACCCCAAGATCACCAAGACCAGTGGTCACCTGCACATACACCCCGGGTGATCGTTCCATGTACCCGCGATAAACGGAATAACATGTTAGTAAAGAGTCTTTTCTTTTAATTTAATTACTTTTACTTTAATTTATTCAAATTTTATTCTTTTTAGACCCATTTGAGCGCTGCAACCCACTCTGACAACCACTGCAGCCAAAATAGCCACAGGGGGCCCCTCCTTGGGGGCCCCTTGCGCGGCCCCCAACAAGGGGGCCCCCCCAGCCCCTGGGGGTTGGTCCCTTGGACCTATGTACTACTCCTTAGGGTACATGGGGGCTTTTTTGGGGCCCCTCGGGGGGTTTTGTTTGCCTGGAATCTCTTGGGGGCCCCCTGGGGGCCCCTCAGGGGCCCCCGAGGCGACTCCTAGAGGATGGGGGGCCCTGAAATGCTCGAAAAGAGCCGCAGAAATGCTGCCTGCAGTACCCAAGGGAGCAGCAGCAGCAGCAGCAGCAGCAGGAGCAGCAGCAGGAGCAGCAGCAGCAAAACCCAAATTGCCTTATTGGGGGCCCCGCAAAAGGTTAAAGATGAAATAAGTTGGTTTTTTAGGGCCTCGAAATCGCATAGAGATTTCAAGGAGTCTAAGAGCTTCTTTTGAGTTTTTTTTTATTTTTTTAATATTTGTTCTGCAACAGTTTATTTCCAAAATGCTCTTCAAGAAGACAGAATAAAGCTTTTTGCTTAGGCGATGCAAGTGGCTAGTTATGGCTAGCTGTGGCTAGCTGCAGCCTGCAGCATACAGCTGTGGCTAGCCGTGGCCTGCAGCAGCTAGTTATGGCCTGCAGCAGCTAGCTGTGGCTAGCTGTGGCTAGCTGTGGCTAGCTGCGGGCCACTTTGGCTAGCCAGGCCTGCTCACGGCCAGCAATAAACGCCATCAGCTAGCTGCAGGTAAGCGTGGCCAGCTGCAGCTAGCCACGGCTAGCTAGCCAGCTAGCTAGCCAGCTAGCTAGCCAGCTAGCTAGCCAGCTAGCTAGCCAGCTAGCTGTGGCCCCACAAAAGAATATCTGCTGCGTTAAAAGGAGATTCGAAAAAGATTTAAAAAGAAAATGAAAAAACGGGGAGGCAAAAGGAAATAAAAGTGAAGAAGAAAAAAGTATAGAAGAGAAACAATAAGAAATAAAAAGAAAAGAATTAGAAGGAAATAAAAAAAGAAAATGAAACAAAAATAAAATAAAAAATGGAGAAGAAAACGAAAATAGAAAAGGAAACAAACAAAGACAAATAGTGAAGAAGACAGATGGCTGCAAAGCTAACAGCTACTAGGTAATCATTGCTGTTGGCTAAAACTCTTCTAAACCCTAAACCCTAAACCCTAAACCCTGAACACTAAACCCTAAGCCTTATACGCTGAAGTTTGCTGTAGGCGCTGCGGCACCCATAAGACCTACACTTATTGAGTTATGTTGAGTTGAACTTAATTAAATGAATGAAATTGAGAATAAAAAATAAAAAATAAACGAAATGGTGAATAATTAATAAAGAAAAAACCCAACAGGGAAAGCCCCGCAGCCGCCAGCAGCCCCGGGGGCCCCCGCCCGAATTCTAGGCGAATTTTTTGCCTTCTAAGCGCAAAATTGAAGCAATAAAAGCGTAAAATAAAGAAAATAAAGAATAAAACAATAAAACAAACAAATTGAATGAATTGAGCGGCTAAAGGCTGAAGTTTCCCCGTTGGATCTACGCGGCGTCGGGGTGTCTGTACACCTGAGGAGTTAGCGGTTATTTTTCCGGTTTTTCTCGGATTTTTTCGCCTTTTCGAAATAAAAGTGAATTTTATCGCATTAAATAGTATTTCGGATAAACATTTTGATTTATTGGCGCTTTGGCGCAGCTTTCCGCCGGCTTCCCGCGAAAATGTGCAGTCTGGTGCGCCCCAGCGACGTCTTTGACCTCTTCGAAATGCAACACCTCAACTTCGTCAATCTTCCCGAAAATTATGTAATGAAATACTTTTTCTTTCACTCTTTGTCGTGGCCGCAGCTCCCCACTGTAGCCCAGGACGGCCAGGGCAAGCTTGTCGGCTACGTCCTCGCCAAGCTGTGAGCTGCTGCTGCTGCTGCTGCTGCTGCAGGTGGTGTTGCTGCTGCTGTTGCAGGTGGTGTTGCTGCTGCTGCTGCAGGTGGTGTTGCTGCTGCTGCTGTAGGTGGTAGTTGTAGTGATGGGGGTGGTGGTGGTGCTGCTGTCGGGGTGCTTCTGCTGCCGAGGCAGCAGCAACAGCAGCAGCAACAGCAGCAGCAGCAGCAGCAGCCCCGCATCTGCTGCTCCTGATCCAGAAACAGCAATCCCAGCAGCAGCAGCAGCAGCAGCAACAGCAACAGCAGCAGCAGCAGCAACAGCAGCAGCAGCAACAGCAGCAATAGCAGCAGCAGCAGCACCAGCAACAGCAGCAGCAGCATCAGTCGAGCTTTGCATGCAGTTTGAATTTTTTCCATGCGTGGGGAATCTGCTGCAGCGACAGGGCTTTGTGGGGCAGCAGCAGCAGCAGCAGCAGCTTGATTCATTTGCTGCAGTTTTTTGTGTTTTTCATGTTTTTGAATTGTTCTTTTTCCATTTTAATTCCTTTTAATTGCTTTTAATTGATTTTATTCAATTCAATTGATATTAATTCATTTCAATTCATTTAAATCCTTTTTTATTTCTTTTTTTATTCAGAGAAGATGAAAATAGACAGTTTCAAAAACCCCACGGCCACGTCACTTCTGTTGCTGTTATGCGCCAAAACCGAAAACTCGGACTCGCCTCCAAACTCATGAGACTCTCCCGTACGCAAACCCTAAACCCTAAACCCTAAACCCTAAACCCTAAACCCTAGGCCCTGAAGTCTATGCCCTATATTGTGAACATGATCTGAGCCATAGGGAGCCCTAAACCCTAAACCCTAAATTGTGAATATGAGCTGAGCCGTAGAGGGCCCTAAACCCTGAACCCTAAACCCTAAACCCTAAACCCTAACCTGTGAAAATGAGCTAAACCGTAGAGGCCCTGAACCCCAGACCTTTAACGCTAAATTCTAAACTCCAAACCCTAAACCCTAAACCCTAAGCCGTTCACTCTAAAGCTTGTTAGACTCGAAGTCGTAAACTCGAAACCCTAAACCCTAAGCCCTAAACCCTAAACCCTCGTTGGCTTTGGGGCGCTGGCTCAGACAGGAATGTTCCAAACATTTGTTTTGGTTTTCTGCTCAAACCCCTTTTTAGGGTTTAGGGTTTAGGGTTTAGGTCACGCGGACGCCTTCTTTTGGGCTGGAATAAGCGCAGAATGGATTCGCGAGTGAATTCTTTTTGCCTTTTTAATTCTTTTATTCTTTTTAATTTAAATTTTAACTCAATTTTAATTTAATTTAATTAATTTAATTTAATTTAATTTAATTATTTATTTTATTTCAGAAAGAGCAATGCAAAAAGTCTTCGGGGCGGAGTTCGCGGCGCTGCATGTCCGCGTCACCAACAGGGCCGCTTACGCCCTTTACAGCAAAACCCTAGGCTACAGGTAGGGTTTAGGGTTTAGGGTTTAGGGTTTAGGGTTTAGGGTTTGGCGTTTGGGGGTTGGGGTCTAGGCTTCGGCGTGCAGGCGGGGTGGGCTTGAAAGCACAGCAGGAAAGCTGCGGCTCGGGGGGTGCAGGGTTGAGGGTTTAGGGTTTAGGGTTTAGGGTTTAGGGTTTAGGGTTTGGGGTTTGCGCTTGCAGAGTGCATGATATTGACAAGAGTTATTATGCAGACAAAGAAGACGCTTTTAACATGAGGAATTACTTTTGTAAAGGTAAAAATAAATAAAATAAATAAGTAAATTGTTAGATAATAAATAAATGCTATTGCTGCTGCGAGTAGTGCTGCTGCTGCTGCTGCTGCTGTGGGTACTGCTGCTGCTGCTCTTGTGCATGCAGGCCCGTGTAAAACAATAGAAGCGCTTTTTTCTAGATAAATAAATCTATTAAAAATGTACATATGAATATAAATATAAATATAAATTATTGCTGCTACTGTTGCTGCTGCTGCTGCTGCTGCTGCTGCAGACAAACGCGTGAAAGGCCGCCGCCAAAACGATTCTCAAGAAGACAAGACGCAGACGCCAGGTGTACGTACACCTCAGGGTTTAGGGTTTGGGGTTTGGGGTTTAGGATTTAGGGTTTAGGGTTTAGGGTTTAGGGTTTGTGGATTTTTGAGCCTGTGATCTATACAGGAAGCAGCAACAGAGCAGCCCACGGCAGCAACAGCAGCAGCAGCAACAACAGCAGCAGAAGCAGCAGCAACAGCAACAACAGCAGCAACAACAGCGGAAACGTCAGCAACTAATTCCAACAAAGGAGCAGCAGCGTCGCCCCAAACATCTCCATCAGCAGCAGCAACGAGCAGCAGCAGCAACAGCAACAGCAGCAGCAGCAGCAGCAGCAGCAGCAAAAACAGGAGGAAGAAGCGCTAGGGTTTAGGGAAAGGGTTTAGGGTTTTAGAAGGCCCCAGATGAACCCAAGGGAGGCTTCGAAACAGCCAAACTCTTTCTGTTTGAAATCTTGGGGTTTTTGGTCTAGGGTTTAGGGTTTAGGGCTAGGATGCTAAGGAGAAGCGTGCAGGCAGGGAAACGTGAGCTGTATTATTCATTCTTTAGGGTTTAGGGTTTAGGGTTTAGGGTTTAGGGTTTAGGGTTTGACTTCAAATAAATGCAGAAGAAGAAAAACATTTAATTAAAAACAGAAATTAAAAATAAATATTTTATTCAGGTGTCTGTACACCTGAGCCCCACTGCATTTGCCGTTTTTGCTGCGGCGTAGCTTTTTATTCATTTAAAATTAAATAATTAAAAAGAATTGCAAATAATTAAATTAAAGAATTATACATAATTAAATTGAGTATTTGTTTTATTTTATGTTTATAAGTTAAATTGAAATTTAATTTATATATTCAAAAATTCCTTTTTTCTGCCTTTGGCTTTTGGCCGCGGAAGGCGGCAAAAGCCCCAAAAGGTAAAAAGGCAAAAAAATGAATAATAATAAATAATAATAAAAATAATAAGTAATAATAAAAATAATAAATAGTTAAAATAATAGAAATGATAGTAATAAACAATAATTGGAATAATAATAATTAGTAATAATACTGATAATAATAAATAATAATAATAATAAGTTACAATAGTAGCAATAACGATAACAACACTAATATAAATAACAATAACAATAATAATAAAGCTAAATAACAACAATAACAATAATAATAATAACGATAATAATAATAACGATAATAATAATAACAATAATAATAACGTAATATCATAATAATACAATAACAATAATAATAATAATAATAATATAATAATAATATAATAATAATAATATAACAATATAATAATAATAAAATAAAAGAATTAATTGCAAATTCACTTATTTGTCTGTTTGGCTCTGCTGTGGAGGCCCACCCAAGGGGGGGGCCCCCGGGGGTAGAAGGGCTGGAGGGCCCCATAGGGTTTGGGGAGAACATGTTCTGCATTGGAGTCGCATTTGGGGTCATTTTTCGAATTATAATTGAGTTTTAATGCATTTAAATCACTTTTGGACTCGTGTTTGCAATTTAAATTCAAATTTGAACCTTTATTTGCCCCGAAATCCCCTTTTTTGGCCCCAAATGCCTCCAGATCCACCCCCCCCGAGCTGTCTGTACACTCCAACGGCCAGTACAGCGAAGGCCGCAACGGCGCCGTGCTCCTGAGGTGTACGTACACCCCAAATCAACGAACCCTTCGAATACAATTTGCAACTTTTATTTATTTTTTAAAGATAAAGTCAATATCAAAACAAAAAGAAATGAAAAGAAATAAATAGAAGTAAGAAGAAAGGGAATAAGAAGGAATAAAAAGAAATAAGAAGAAACAAAAAGAAACTAAAAGAAATAAAAGAAACAAAAGAAGTTAAAAGAAATTAAAAGAAATAAAAAGAAATAAAAAGAAATTTAAAAATATGAAATATCAAAAGTCAAAAGTTATTTTGAATTACCTGGGCGCTGTCTCCTCTATCTGCTGCTGCTGCCTGTCTTTTGCTGCTGCTGCTCTTATTATTTGTCTCCTTTTGCACTCCCTGCCTTGCTGCTGCTGCTGCTGCTGCGCTGCTGCTGCTGCTGCTGCTGCTGCTGAGAGGTCCTGCTGCTGCAGCAGATCCGCTCTGGTCGTGGCTAGCTGGCTAGCTAGCTGCTGCTGCAGCTCGGCTAGCTGAGGCAGCATCGACTGCAGCACAGCACCTCCTCTGCAAACCCTAAACCCTAAACCCCAAACTCTAAACCCTAAACCCTAAACCCTAAACCCTGTGTCTTCTCTGAAAGTAAGGGACAGCTGCAGAGCTGTCTAGACACCCGAGATATCTTTTCTTAATTTTCCCAATTTGATTTTTGGCTTCTTTTCAAATTAAATAAAATCAAAATCTAATAAAGTTCAATCAATTAATTAATTAATTACTTAATTAATTAATTAATTAATTTATTTATGTACTCTTTTAATAAAATATATTAAGTATTTACTTGTTAGCTGCTACTGGGCTATAGCTATTTGCCATGGTCAAAACAAAAAAACTGCTGCTGCTGCTGCTGCTGCTGTTGCTGCTGCTGCTGCTGTTGCTGCTGCTGCTGCTGTTGCTGCTGCTGCTGCTGCTGCTGCTGCTGCTCGCTTGCTTGCCTTGTAGACATTTGTCTCTGCCTGGAGGCAGCGGCGTTTGCTGCTGATCTGCTGCAGCCGCTGCTGCAGCAGATTCAGCTGCAGCAGCAAATCAGCAGCAACCAACTTGTTTGAGCCTGTCTTCTGCAGCAGCAGCTCTGCAAATAAATAAAATAAATAAGTATATAGATAATAAATAAATAAATAAATAAAATAAATAATTAATAAATAATAAATAATAAATAAATAAATGAGTGAAGTGATCAATAAATAAATTAATAAATAAATACATAAACAAATAAGTAAACAAGGAACATATATACAAAATATCAATGTTTAACTTAATTCTATTCTTCGCATGATATTTAATTTGATTTAATAATTTAATTATTTCATTGAACTAAATAATTTAAATATCTAATTAAACAAAACAGTTTAATTATTTAAATTAAATAATTATATTAATTAAAAAAATACCATTTCCTCCATCTAATTCCTTTTTAAATGATTTTTTGCAAATTAAAAACCTCTTGAATTGAATTTTTTTCTATTTTATTTTATTTTAAATTAATTTAAACACTATTATTAAATTTAATTCCATTTATTTATTTAAATTAAATACCATTTCCTTCATTTAATTCTTCAAACTTCAAATCCAATTCCATCAATTTCCTCTTTTGACTTCCCAGTCGATTTTGAAGTTCTTCAGCTTTCGCCTGCAGCTCTTCCACAGGCGGCTCCGGCCTGCGCAAACCCTAAACCCTAAACCCTAAACCCTAAACCCTAAACCCTAGAGCTTAAGGCCTAGACTCTAAACCCTAAACCCTAACTGCGGCACTTTTGCACGGGCCGTAGGAAGACGCCAACGCCGGAGGAACGCCCGGGATGGCTGCCAGAAGCTCATAAACCCTAAACCCTAAACCCTAAACCCTAAACCCTTGTTCCCTAGAGCGCTACCTTCCCGTTTCCCTCCAGTGCCGGCTGCCATTAGGATTTTCTGAGAACAGAAAAGCCAGCAGAAAAACCATGATTTAGGGTTTAGAATCCAGGGCTTAGGGTTTAGGGTTTAGGGTTTAGGGTTTAGGGTTTGGGGTTTAGGGCTTAGGTACCGAGCTCGAGTTTGAGCTTCTGAAGATTTATCTTTTCTGCAGCTAGCTGCTGCTTCAGTGCTGCTGCTTCCTCAGCTAGCTGCGGCACTAAGTTTGATTGCTTCCGCTGCTGCTGCAGCTGCTGCTGCAGCTGCTGCGCCTTCAGCCGCAGCTGCCGCACTTCCTGCAGCACAAGCGAAACAGCTAGCTAGCCAGCTGCCAAGTTAGCCAGCTAGCTAGCTAGCTAGCTACCAAGTGAGCCAGCTAGCTAGCCAGCTAGCTACCAAAGTAGCCAGCTAGCTAGCCCGCTAGCTAGCTAGCTAGCTAGCTAGCTGGGTAACTACCCAGCAATATAGCTAGATAGCTAGCTAGCTGGACAGCTAGCTAGCGACGTAGATAGCTAGCTACGTAGCTAGCTCGCTAGCTCGGCGGCTAGCTGCATGTGCACGCAGGCGCAGCTAGCTGGCTAGCTAGCTAGCTAGCTAGCTAACTAGCTAGCTAGCTAGCTAGCTCTCTAGCCAGCTAGCCAGCTTTGCTGGGCCTGAAACCTTGGGTGCTAGGCCTTCATCGATGACGATAGATGGCTAGCTAGCTATTCGTTTGCTAGCTAGCTAGCTAGCTAGCTAGCTGGCTAGCTAGCTAGCTAGCTAGCTTATGCCTTACGGCCTCTGCCTCCTGAGTGGCTTGCAGCCCCCGCCTCTCGGCGAGCTCTGTGCACATGCACACACAATTTGCTGCTGTTGCTGTTGCTGCTGCTGCTGCTGTTGCTGTTGCTGCTGCTGCTGCTGTTGCTGCTGCACTATGTGTGTTGTTTGCTGCTAAACAAACAAATCCCTCGAAATAAATCAAATGAAATAAAGATGCAAATGAATAAAATAAAAAACAAAACAAAATAGAATTAAATCAAATGGCAAAAAAAGAAAGACAAAAGACAAACCAAATACCAAATTTATTTGTTTACAGCAATTATAATTATAAATAAATACATCGAAATAACTGATTTAATTTAATTTAATTTAATTTGTTAAATTTAATTTAATTAATTTAATTTAATTTAATTTAGTTAAGTTTAATTAATTTAATTTAATTTAATTTAGTTAAATTTAATTAATTTAATTTAATTTAATTTAATTACCAAATGCATAACTTCTTTCCCACAACAAACAAAGCTCATCATTCCTGCGGCGGATTTCAGGTGTACGGACAGCTCAGAAAGTGGCATTTATTCCTCCAATTCTTCTTCTTAATATTTATTTATTTATTTATTTATTTATTTATCTTATTTCATTTGTGTTTATATTTGTTTATTTATTTGTATGTTTATTATTTATTTATTTAGTTATTTATTTATTTATTCAAATATAATTCAGATTTAATTCAAGTTTAATTTGAATTCAATTCAAATTTAAATTATATTTAATTTAAATTCCATTTTAAAAAATGCAATTATATTTCCGCAGAGGCAGCAAACAAAAGCCGGAAAAATGGAAATAAAACAAAAGTAGAAATAAAAATAAAAATAATAAACTTGTAATTAAATAAACCCAAAATAAAAAGAATTATAACAACAAAACTAATTAAAATAAAAGAAAAAGAAAATGAAAGACTTGTTGCTGCGTTAATGCCTGGCTGCTGCTGCTGCTGCTGCTGCTGCAGCCAAACCTGTCAATTAAGTTCACGCCAGTGATATTTCTGCTTTCGACAGCAGCATAAAAATGATTTTTAGTTTTTCTAATTTCAATTTCCAAATTGCAAAGACAGGCATTTCGCCTCTCAGCTGCAATCAAACAAGCCTCAGCTTCCTCTGCAGCAGCAGCAGCAGCAGCAACAGCAGCAGAGCAGCAGCTGTGAAAGCAGCAGTGAAAAAGACAGTGCTGGAAGCAGCAGCAGCAGCAGCGGCAGCAAAAGCAGCAGCAGTGCAGCAGCAGCAATGACTGGAGGCAGCAGCAGCAGTGGTGGTAGTAGCAGCATTATCACTTCAGCAGCAGCAGCAGCAGCAGCAGTGATAGATGCAGCATTGATAGCAGCAGCAGTGGTAGCAGCAGCAGCAGCAGCAGCAGCAGTCCAGCAGCAGCGGTGACAGAAGCAGCAATGAGAGCAGCAGTGATAGCATCAGCAGTGATAGAAGCAGCAGTGATAGCAGCAGCAGTGATAGAAGCAGCAGCAGCAGCAGCAGCAGCAGTAGCACTGTGTTGTTTGTTTCAGGCGATTGCTGCTGAGTGCATGAAGGCGCTGCAGCAAAGAGCAGTTTTGAGAAATCAGCATTCCAGGTTGCTGCTAAAGATCGCCCGCTGCAATGGTATTTGCTGCTGCTGCTGCTGCTGCTGCTGCTGTGAGAAGCTTGAGTGTTTGAATCTGGACTACTCTACAAAGACTTATTCATTTCTATTTTCAATGTAGATAGTTTTTGATTTGATTTAGTTTCTAGTTTATTTTATTTCGTTTATTTTTGCTTTCGGTTGGATTTTTAATTTAATTTAATTTAATTTCGGTTTTTTTAATTTGATTTTTAATTTAAATTGGTTTTTAATTTAATTTAGTTTTTATTTCTTTTGGAAAAAGAAATCTTATTTTGCTTCGTTTGCATGCAAGCTACGAGAAATTAAATTAAATTAAATCAAAAACAGATAAATGAGTAAAATAAACAAGCAAATAAAATAAATAAAATAAGTAGCTAAATAAATACAATTAAAACAAATAATAAATAAATAAAATAGATGAATAAATAAATAAAATTAGAATAAACAAAAGAAATAAATAAAATTAAAATAAATAATAAATAAATAAAATTAAAATAAATAAAAGGTAAATAAAATTAAAACAAGTAAATAATAAATAAAATAAATAATAAATAAATAAATAAAACTAGAAAAACAAATAAGATTAAAAGAAATAAATAAAACTAAAACAAATAAAAAATAAACTCCTCACAAGAGTTTTGTTTTTCTTTTCGCGGGCCTCTCGGGTGTACGTACAGACTTCGTTGGCCAAAATGGACTGTCTTTTGAGAAGTTCCAAAAGGGTTTGATTTGCTGCCTGCAGCAAAAGCGAGAGTCTTGTGGTTTGCTGCTGCGTCTCTTTTATTTTTGCTTCTTGCTGCTGCTGCTGCTGCAGCAAACTCGACAGACGCGCGGCTGCCAAAGAACCCTCCGCGCTCTGCGGCAGCAGCAGCAGCAGAAGCAGCAGCAGCAGCAGCAGCAGCAAAAGCAAGAAATCCAGGTGCTTAGATATACTGGGATGGATAAATGCAGTTTGAGTTCCTGGTGTATATGGCTAGCTAGCTAGCTAGCTGGTTTATCAACTGCAGCAGCAGCAGCAGCAGCAGAGGGGAAATCACAGGGAAGAAGAGCGAACTACCCACGCGAAGTAGCAGCAGCAGCAGCAGCAGCAGCAGCAGCAGCAGCATCACCCCAACGAGCACTAGCAACAGCAGCGAACGCAGCAGCAGCAGCAGCAGCAGCAAGAGCAGCAGCAGCAGCAGCAGCAGCAGCAGCAGCGGACTTTGAGTTGGATTTGTTCCTGGAGGTCTTTGTAGATCTTTTCTGCTTCTGCAACACTTTGTGCTGCTTGCTGCCGCTGGCTAGCCATGCTGCTGCGCAAGCTAGCCCAGCTAGCTATTTGCTGCAGCAGCAAAGCAGAGTCTCCCTGCAGCTCGCTGCGCCGCTTGCTCTGCACGCAGCAGCGAGGGTTCAGGGTTTAGGGTTTAGGGTTTAGGGTTTGGGGCTTGGGGTTCAGGGTTCGAGGTTCAGGGTTTCGGGTTTGGGGTTTGGTGTTTAGGGTTTCGGGTTTGGGGCTTAGGGTTTGGGGTTTAGGGTTTAGAGTTTGGGGTTTAGGGTTTAGGGTTTAGGGTTTAGGGCTTAGGGTTTAGGGTTTAGTGTTTAGGGTTTGGGGG